GCTTCGTGGCCTTCTCCATCCACCCCATGCCATCCATGCACATCGGAGTAAGAGTAATAGGAAAATATATTTTTCACATTTGTTAGCGCATCCTAAGTTTGCCCACATGCAGAAGTAGGAATAAATGAAATTGGAAGCTTTTGGGGGGTACACAGTGGTTATATGGCCTAACAGAACATTATTCAGAAACTAATTACAGAATCACCTCCATGCTTCATAAATATACAGAAAAATATCTGAAAGAACATTTTCAAAAGTAGTAAAGGTTAGTATTCAACTGAAAATGTTTTAGGTGAAAGGAACTAATTTTGATCTCAAAAGAGAATGGGAGAGATTAAATATAATATCCACAAAGGCATATTAGCATAACACTACAAAATCCAACTGAAATATTTGTAAAAGTAAGGGTAAATACTGCTCTGTGCATTTTCTAGGATAGAAGTTATTTATGTAGAAAATTTGATGGAATATTTCCTTTCTGAAGGAGGTGGCAGGTGGCTGCCTGTTGGAGTGTGAAAAACAAGAAGAATCATTTGGATATAATTTGAAAAAAATTAATCAAATGACAAAAATACAAGTGAGGAGTAATTTTCCTCTCCTTTTGGAAATTTTTCTAGGCTGAAATTTAGGAAGATATTGGAATTAGGGGAAAAAATAAACTATGAATCTAAGAAATAACTGGAACAAAAAAGAAATTATTTGGTAATATAGACAAACAGATTCTTATTTTCAAAATATAGTCAATATAATTCTTTACCTGTGATTTAAAAAATGATTTACACATGTCTTCTGAAGTATGCAATATTGCAATACATTCTCAGATTACCACCCAAAGAAACTGGGGAAGATTGATTTTTCACTTGACTTTGGTAGAGTCTGATAAACAAGCCCTTTTTGATTTTTTAATGCAGGATGTGTGTGTCGGGGGGCCTTTCACACTAACAGATTGAGAATCTAAAAACTTATGTTTTATTTCTACTTCTGCCACCAACTAATTCTTTCATTTTAGGAAAATTACTTAAACTGAGCCTCAGTTTTCTTATCTGTGTAATAAGAATTAGAGTATATAACATCTAAGATTTATTAAGTTTCAACATTCTATGAATCCATGTATGTCTAACCATATATTAGTATTCTTTTACTTAGAGAAATGGATAAAACAGAATTTAGTCTACTGAAAAATGAAAACAATGAAATAAAATTGACTAAGATTTCTGATCTAATAACTAAAGTAAATAGTTAGAGAGTATTAATGGCCCTAAGATTATTTTATGCTTTACTTACTGCTGTCATAGCCTGCCTATTTGCTGACAAATCCCAAATTTATATACCCAGCATAGACTTATCTGAGCTTCAACTTGTATAGTAAGCAACTAACTATATGATTATTACTTGTATGTTCCTCAGATATTCAAATTTAGGCCATGACACCAAACTCTCAGACCTGCCTCTACCTGTCTCAACCTGAAAATAACGCATTATGTTCTGTCCATGGCCTTCATGCTTCCTAGTAGCTCAAAGGAGAAACTTCAGCATCATCCTTGATTCCTCTTCTGTCTACCATCAACATTCAAGCCAATGAGTCCTTTTTTTCCCTCCTTTCAAATTATATCATGAAACAGGCTGTTTCTCTTCATTTGCAGTGTAAGCATCCTATCCACACCACCATATTTTCTCACTTGGGCTTTTGTAATAGTTTAGTGGCCTCCCTGCTTCTACTTTCATCCTATTATTTAATTCTACCGATCATCCTCTCAGTATTCAGCATATACAATAATGATGTCGTTGTTATAAAAGTGACATAAAGAAATAAATTATTCAAGGAATACAGAAAGATACAAAGAATGATGTAAAAACTCTTTAAATCTCATCATTTGGAAATATTAAATATTATTGTAAATATACACTTATTTAAATAGATGAATAAACAGCAAAAAATATTTTTGAAGAGAGATATTAATATCATTGTATTTTTGTTTTAGATTTTTAAAATTCTGAATTAATTAGTTCTGATTTTTTGGATTATCTATTTTAGACTTCCTGCCATGGTAAATGAGAATTTAGCTCACTTACACACTCCCCTCTCTCCTTCCTGCCACATTAACTACTCTTCCTCTTTTAGTCACTTTTGTATCGCCAATAATATATATTTTCCTTTTATTTGTGTCCCAGTAGTGATAGTCTATCTTGACTCCCTTACCTTTTAAGGTGAGGCCCTCAATTCCTTGCCTCTTTTGGTCTTTTACTCTTGCAAGCTGTTTTTACTTTCATAATAGCAAGACTAAAAAAACTGCCTTAGTTAAGTTTTTCATGCTTTGTTTTTGGTTAGACTTTAAAAGTTGAAAAATCAAGTATTACTTTACATTATTATAACTATGTAAATACGGTTCATTACTGAACCAATGACTACATGATAACATACAGTATTTGTGTACAGTGTCCCTCCCCTTCAAAACTTCTGAATGATTTTCCTTTTTCTTTAGCCAATCCTTAGGTTTGTTCTTCATTTCAAGGATACTATCAAGTCTATGGAACTCTCCCCCAACACACACACATTTTATTTTATTTTTTTATCTCATACTTATTTTTAGACCTTACTTCGGGACTGATTTTGAAGTCATCTTAAGTCTTCCATTCATTGTCCCAGGTTAGATTTATTGTTTTCTACATCCTATGCCTTTCTCATTCTTACTTTCTTGTTTTTTTCTGGGCCATCTTAAGGAACCTTGTAAAGAAGGCTGCATGGGAGATAAATTTTCTGAGTCCTTAGATATTTGAAGATACTTTTTTCTACCATCATACTTGATTAACAATTTGGCTAGCTAAAAACTTTTAAGTTCTTCCCTGTTTGACTACCACATTTTCTCCTAATAATAGATTTTAGTGGCTATGTTTATAGGATAGATTAAAATTGCCATGATCTGAAGACAGAGGATTTATTTGTATTCTCCTCCTCTATAAAATTGTTGAACCAAAAAAAAAAAAAAAAAGGACTTTTAAGTTCAGTATCAGTTTTTGTCAGAATTTTGGAGGCAATTCTCCTTACATGTTAGAAGTCAGTGTTGCTATCTTTTCTCTTTGAAAACTTCTAGGATCTTCTCTTTATCCTTGGTATTCTCAAATCTATCAATATTATATTTATGAATAGGTGTTTATTTCACTCATACTGGACATTTCCTAGGTCTTCTCAATCTGAACACCTATATCTATCCTCAGCTGTGGGATGTTCCCATCCATTATTTGAGATTTTTCTTCTCCCTTGTTTATTTGTTTTTAATAGCTATATATAAATTTTCTAAGTGTTTTTTCTTGCTATTTCACTGTGCCTTTTTCATAGAGCCTATTCTTGCTGTATGCATGTAACAGCCTTTAGCATATCTCCAGTATAATAATAATTGGAATATTTAAAGTTATTTTCCATTCTTTAATTATCTTTCTTCCTTGGAGTACTTTATCATGTTTATCTTAGTCTTATTCTTTAACTATTTTTCTTCAACTGTCAGATAATTCATAGTTGTTCATGGCTTTAGAATAATGAAAAAGTGGACTGGAAATTCTGTGTAAGTGGTTTAAAGGTGAATGGTTAGTTGGCTTTTAAGCTGAAGAATCTTTAAATGAGTAGAATAGGTTTTATCCAAAATGTTAACATCTCTACTTTGGGACTATTTATTTGAAAACAAACTGTCTTATTTAATTTTGATTTGGTTTTGGGGCTAAGAGTAGGTGAGGAACATAGGATGAGTAAATAATATTTACATTTTACATTTTTAATTAATTTTTTTAAATTTTTTATCACCTCTAAGCCTCTATCCAACCTGGCTTCTTTGTGCCCAGAACTCTTCACACACTTTCACCCCTCCATCTGTTTTTCAGGCTTTTGGAAACTTACTGGACTCTTTTTGTCAACTACTGCCCTTACCTTGTCCTATTTGATCTTTTTTATATTTTTACTATTACGTTAATCCAGTCTTGGGAGACAGCTGATCAACATATATACTCAGTCTGTCACCTTGAATCATTATCAGAATCTACATTGTTTTTAATTTAAAAAAAAATTAACTTTATTTTACTTGACATTAAGCCACTGAAGTTAAACATTTTAAAGTTTTGACAATATTGTTTCATAATCATATTTCTTACTCTTGTTTTTAGTTCTATATTTAAATAGATTTAATGTTTATCATCATTTTTTTTACTACATCTTCATTCTTAAGTTCTAAATTTGGATCTCCTCTTATTGTATGAATTTTATTTCAAGATGTTTATCAAAGATACTTCGTAAATGCTGTATTCCCTGAGTTCTTTCATACTACGGCAGACTGTATGTGTCTATGTCCTTTCAACCAAAAGAACCTCTTGGCTGGGTGTAGAACACTGGTTCACACTTTCTCATAATGCTCTGACATTACTATGTTTTAGTATTCAATATAGCAAGAGTCACCATTTACCATGGTGTCTTTGTTCATTTCTTGATTGGCTATATTCCATCACTGAGTCATTTTTTTCCTCCTCAAGACAGTTAATGCATGATATAATCCTTTTATTTTTTCACCGTTGGGAATATCTGTTTATGGTCTTTTTAAGTGAATGGAATCTTGGCTGGATATAGTATTTTTGGATCAGATTTATTTTCCTTTGGAGTTTAGTAGGCATTGCTCTATTGTCCTCTAGTCTAGAATGTTACTCTGGGGAAGACTGAGGTCAGTCTACTTTTGTTCTCAATTATAAGAGACTTATTATTTGTCTCTGGATATCTGGAGAATTTTATATTATTTTCAAAGTTCAATAAGAAGAATATGGTTTAATTGATACTGTTGAATCTATTTGTCTTAGAGTATGACATAAACTTTTGAGTTGTGAAGTCTCTTATTCTTGCATTTCAGGATTATTTTTCTATTTTCTACAGGAATACTCGTTCTGATTCATTTATTAAGTTCTTCAACACAGGGACACTTATATAATGTCATTTTTGCCATGCCTCCAGAGCTATTATCTTCTATTTCCATTAATCACATTATCTTTTTCCTTTGATTATCCTGTGCTTATCTCAAGCCTTTTCTGTGTAAATAATTTATTTTGCAGCCATGTCCATTTGATTCTTTTCTGTATGCAATTTGTTTATTAGTTCTGTAACAGTGTTATTTTGTTTCAATTTGTTTCTCTATATTTTCAATTTCCATTTTTCTTTCATTTTGTGTTGTTTTCATCTCATATTTAAGCTATTATTTTATTCTCGTTCTTAAAAAAAACTTTCTATAGTATAATGAGATGTTTTCCTGTGTTGCTCTTGTTGCTTTACTTTTTTTCATAATATTTTTTGTTCTGTCTGAATAATTCTCATGTCATTATATTTTCACCTTGTTCATATTTTCAATGAGTCCTGTATGTAGACTTTTAGTTATGGTGTAGTCTGCGTGAATTCTCTTTAAGTTCCCTTCCATATTCTCTGAGTGAGGGTCTTCCTCTAGCAGATACAGCTTAAGAGCTGGTTATTGAATTCTACTTAATTCTCAGTAGCCTAAGGATTTTGGTGTGTATATTTTAGAGATGGGTAGGAATAGGAAAAGAGACTGGGTACAGCCTAGTTCTTCAAATATTCTATATTCTTACTATCTTTCTCTATTGGATATATGTTTTTCACTGAAGTGTTTGAAACCTCCTACTATTGTTCTGGATTTGTCAATTTTACTTTGTAATACTGTTGGTTTGCTCTAATACAATGTTATATTATTAGGTGCAAAAGTTTTTATTGTCTTGGTGATTATTCTCTACTTTTTTGTAATGCACCTTACTATAAGATCTACTTAGTTTTTCAAAACTTTATGTTCAAATTTTCTTTTTGGTTTGATTTTAGGTGTGCCTTTTATAACTGGCATATAGATGTATTTATATTATTATTACTCCATCTGATAATCTCTGTATTTTAATAGGTGAGTTTTATCTATTCAAATTCAATCAGATATCTTACACATTTAGGCTTATTTTTACCACCGTCATTTGTGTTTTCTGCTTACTACCCATTTTCCTTTTTTCCCCCTACAATCTTACGTTCTGTTGGATTGATAAAGGGGTCTATATTTTTATTTTTTTTCCTTTTTTCTCCCTTTATCTTCCTTCTCTTCCTCTTCCTTCAAATCCTCCAAGTTCCTTATTCATCCTCCTTTTGATTCAGCTATTGATTTGCAAGATATTAAGATTTATATTCATACATTAATTACCAAAAGTTTGCTTTTTCCCTCTTTTATGTAAACATACAGAAATAAGCATATGCATAAGTGTACATTTTAATGAATTTTCAGAAAGTAAATATACCCATGTAACAATAATCGAGATCAAGAAGTAGAACACTGCCAGCACTCCAAGCCTCCTCTCCTGCTCTCTCCCAGTCTCTCCTCTTTCCTAAGGTTAACAACTATTCTGTCTCAATTACCATAGATTAGCTTTGCCTGTTTTGAACTTTACTTAAATAGAATAGTAAAATATGAACTCTTTGTGTCTCAGTCCTATTGCTCAATTCTATGTTGCTATATCTACCTATGAAGTTGGATGCACTGGTTACTCATTCATTTACTTTTTGTGGAGTATTCCATTGCGTGAATGCACCACAATTTATTCATTCATTCTATTCTTGCTGGTCATTTAGATTGTTTTCAGTGTTTGGTAATTATGATAAATGCTGTTTTAGACATTTCTTATTCTGGTCTTTCATTCATAGCTATGTTAGGTATATATGTAGGAGTAAGATGCTGAAATTACTGGGTTATAGGCTATGCCTGTGTTCAGATTTAGTAGTTATTGCCAAACCATTTTCTGAAGTGTTTGTATAAATTTATATTCTCATATATAGTTCATGAAAGCTCTAGTTGCTCCACATCCTCACCAATATGTGGTTCTACTAGTTTCTTTAGATTTTACCTACTCTAAGTGTGTAGTTACATGTACACAATTTTCAGTTCCCTGGTAAATAATGATGTTGAGTATTTTGTCACTTATCATCTATTTATCTGTTCTCTTCCATAAGTTACTTGTTCAATGTTCAAGGGCATTTTTCTGTGGACTATTTTTATATTGCTTCATAGAAACATTTTACGTATTATGAATAATAAACTTTTATAAAATACTGAAAGTATTTTCTCCAGTGTGTAGTTTATTTTCAGTTTTACTAGGGTCTTTTGAGGAACAAAGGTTCTTAATTATGTCTCACTTATTAATATTTTTCTCTAAAAAATTACTTGCCTATCCTAAAGTCATAGATATTCTGTTATCTTTTCTTTCATGTATACATGCACCTCCCACCTAATCAAAATATTTTTTCATATGTTATGTAGAATATCAAGATTATTTTTTCCCATATGGATAATGAATTGACCCATCATCATTATTTTAAAAAACACACACACATTTCCTTCTTGGTGCAGCCACTATGGAAAACAGTATGGCAGTTCCTCAAAAAATTAAAAACAGAACTACCATATGGTCCAGCAATTCCATTTCTAGGTATTTTTTGAAAAAAAAAAAGTCCCACTAAATTGAAAATATACATGCACCCCATGTTCATGGCATTATTTACAATAGTGAAGATATAGAAACAATTTGTGTCCATTGATGGATGAATGGATAAAGAATATGTGATACACACACACATACACACACATATTAGAATACTATCCAGACATAGAAAAAGAATAAAATTTGCCATTTGGAAAAACATGGATGGACATTGAGAGCATCATGCTAAATAAATCAGACAGAGCAAAACAGATACTATATAATCTCACCTATATGTGTAATCTAAAAACAAAACAAACAAACAAAAAACCCAAGCAGTAAACAGACCAGTAGTTGCTAGGGGGCCTGGAGGGTGAAATGCGTAAAGGAGGTCAAAATGTACAAACTTCCAGCTATAAAATAAATAAGTCATGGGAATATAATAAACAGCAGTGTGACTATAGTTAATAAAACTGTATTGCATATTTGAAA